GTACACACCCAGGCCCCAGCCGAGAGGGGCACAGACTCACAGCAGAGGGTACACACCCAGGCCCCAGCGGAGAGGGGCACAGACTCACAGCAGAAGGTACACACCCAGGCCCCAGCGGAGAGAGGCACAGGATCACAGCAGAGGGTACAGGCCCAGGCCCCAGCCGAGAGAGGCACAGACTCACAGCGGAGGGTTCAGGCCCAGGCCCCAGCCGGATGAGAAGGGTGTCTATTCACTCTAGCCCCTCTGGGACACTGAGAACAATATCACAGGTACAGGCAGAGGAACTGTCAGTGCCCAGGGAAAATGACAGTGACATTGAGGAGCTGGGTGCCAAGGTTAAAGGGCTGCAGGCGCTGCAGGGAAAGCTGTGCAGTGAATGGCAGCTGACCGAATCCCTTCCCACAGAGCAGCAGGAGCGAAAGGTGGGTGTCAGATTACAAGGGTTGGAATGTCTGTCTGTGCATGCACGTGTGTGTGTGTGTGTGTGTGTGTGTGTGTGTCTGTCTCTCTCCTTTTCTGCCTGTGTTTGTGTCTCTCCCTATGTGTGGCTCCCTAACATCTATCTCTCTGTCTCTATCCCATCAATATCTGTGTGTGGGTGTGGGGATGTGTGTGTGGGTGTGTACGTCTCTGTCTCTCTCTCTCCCTCCCATCTCTCTCTGTCTGTCTCTTTCCCCCCTGCTCCCCCATCTCCCTGAGTGTATGTGTATGATGCACAGATTTTTAATGAGTGACGGGTTGAAGGGTTATGAAGAGCGGGCAGGAAAAGTGGAGTTGAGGCCGAGATGAGATCAGCCGTCATCTTATTAAATAGAGGAGCAAACTCGAGGGGCTGAATGGCCTCCTCCTGCTCTGAGTTACGTCCTTATTAGAAATAGGAACAGGAGCAGGCCATTCAGCCCCTCAAACCTGCTCTGACAATCAATAGCTTCATGGCTTGATCCGACACTCCACATGTCCACATTCCTGCCCTTTCCCTGTAACCCTTCATTCCCTGACTGATCAAGAATCTATTGATCTCAGCCCTAAATATACACAAGGACTCTGCCCCCCTACAACTCTCTGTGGCAAGGAATTCCAAAGACTCTTAACCCTCTGAGAGAAGAAATTCCTATCATCTCAGTCTTAAATTGGTGCCCCTTTACTCCAAGACTATGCCCTCTGGTCCTAGACTCTCCCATGAGGGGTAACATCCTCTCAGCATTTACCCTGTCAAAGCCCCTTTCCACTTTCTGATTCCATTTGTCCTGAGAACTTTATCTAACTCCCTGTTGAAATGTTCTGTTCTATTACCATCGTGTGCTCATGTAAGAAATCATTTTTTTTATTCATTCACGGGATGAGGGTATCGCTGGCTGGCAGCATTTATTGCCCATCCCTAATTGCCCAGAGGGCAGTAAGCGAGTCAACCACATTGCTGTGGGTCTGAAATCACACGTAGGCCAGACCAGGTAAGGATGGCAGTTTCCTTTCCTAAAGGATATTAGTGAACCAGATGGGTTTTTCCAACAATTGGCAATGGATTCATGGTCATCATTAGATTCTTAATTCCAGATATTTACTGGATTCAAATTCCACCATCTGCTGTGGTGGGATTCGAATCTGTGTCCCCAGAATGTTAGCTGGGTCTCTGGATTAACAGTCCAGTGATAATACCACTAGGCCAATGCTTCCTCTGACTTGTCTGGATAACAAACCACTGACATCCATTTGAAACCCACTGACTCCCATAATTACCTCGACTACACCTCCTCTCACCCACCCTCCTTCCAAATGCTATCGCATTCTCCCAATTCCTCCACCTTCGCCACGTCTGCTCCCAGGATGAGGTGTTCTACTCTAGGACATCCCAGATATCCTCCTACTTTAGGGACCGTAGTTTCCCTTCCTCTGTTATTAAGAATTCCCTCAACCGCATCTCCTACATTTCCCGCACTCTGCCCTCAAACCCCCCTCTCCCCAACAACAATAAGGATAGAGTCCCCTTTGTCCTCACATACCACCCTACCAACTCCCAAATCCAACGCATTATCCTCCAACATTTTTCCTTCCCCACCCCTGTCTGCTTTCTGCAGGGACTGTTCACTCCGTGACTCCCTTGTCAGCTCCACAATCCCCACCAACCCCTCCACCACACCCAGTACCTTGCCCGCAACCACAGGAGATGCTACCCCTCCCCCACACCTCCCCTCTCACCTCCATCCCAGGTCCCAAACATTCCTTCCAGATCCCACAGAGATTCACCTGCAATTCATCCAACCTGATCTACTGTATCTGTTGCTGTTGATGTGCTCTCCTCTATATCAGGGACCGGTTCGTGGATCATGTGTTCTCTGCACGCACCAACCAACCCGACCTTCCAGTTACCATCCACTTTAACTCCCCCTCCCAGTCCCCTGGTGACATGTCCATCCTTGGCCTCCTTCACTGTCAGAGTGAGGCCAAACCTAAACTGGAGGAACAACACCTGATATTTCACCCTGGGAGCTTACATCCCAATGGCCTGAATATTGACTTCACCAGCTTCAAAATCTCTCCAGCCCCAACCTGTCCACCTTCTGACTCACCTATCCGCTCCACCCTTCCCACTGACCAACCACAATAACCCCCTAACTGCATCCATCTATCTGCATGTCAACTATCTCCATCTCACCTATCCTCCCCCAGCTCCACCCCAACATTAATTTCCGGGCTCCCCTCCCCCTCCCCAGCCCTGATGAAGGGTTTTGGCCCGAAACGTTGACTTTCCTCCTCCTCAGAAGCTGTCTGACCTGCTGTGCTTTTCCAGCCTCCCACTTATAGACTTAGATTTTTTATATATTTTATATTTTTCACTGTATCTCAATACGTGGCAATAATCATGAATCAAATCAAATCATTGTTTTGGCCTCAACCACTTCCTGCAGCAGAGAATCCCACAGGCTCCCCACTCTCTCGAAGACAAGTCTCCTTTTCTCAGTTGGAAATGGCCCACCCTGTCTCCTTAGACTGTGACCCCTGATTGTGGACTTTCTGGTCATGGAGCTTGCTTCTGGTGTTTACCCTTTCCAAACCCGATAGAACTTTATAGGGTTCTCTTGAGTTTTCCCCATGTCATTCTTTTTGTTTAAATTCTTCAAATAGAATACTCTCTCAGAGAGCTTCATACATGGTTTCAGCTTCTAATGCTCTTATCCATTTGTCAACATTACTTTGTTTAACCCTCTCGAGTTCAGAAGGCTATTTCCTTAAATCCCAGAACTTCTGCTTGTTTGCCTCAGGCACTAACTCATATGCAGCCAATATAGTCTTTTTTACTGTGTCATAATCCTGAGAAACCTCCTCTGATAGTGAAGCATAAATTTCCTGTTAACTTGCTCTGCGTGAATAATGTTCAGTCCTATTTTACCCAATTTATTTGCCTAGGTATTTTCTCAAATACCACAAAGAATGCCTCTACATCCTTTCCTCAGACTTTTGTCAGGCCTCAGCAAACTTAGATATTTCCTTTTGGATTTCAAATTAGGACTTGGATTCTCTCCATCTACCTCTGACATGGAATGCCGTGCCTGCAAAAATAGTAGACTCGCCCACTTTAAGGGCATTTAAATGGTCATTGGATAAACATATGGATGATAATGGAATAGTTTAGGTTAGATGGGCTTCAGATTGGTTTCACAGGTCGGCGCAACATCGAGGGCCGAAGGGCCTGTACTGTGCTGTAATGTTCTATGTTCTATGTCCTGATTCACCTGTATTTTAAGCTGTTGTTCATGTGCCTTCCTTTTCTCTTTGCATTTCTAACTTACATATAGATTGGACAGACCAAACTAGTAATGATATTGTGAAGGAAGATTTCCTGGAGTGGGTATGTGAGTTGTTTAGACTAATACATTGGGGAACCAACCACAGAACAGGCTATTCTAGACTAGGAATTGTGCAATGAGAAAGGATAAATTAACAGCCTAATCGTACAAGGCCTGATGGGGAAGAGTGACCATAATACAATAGAATTCATCATTAAAATGAAGAGTGATGTAGTTCAATCTGAAACTAGGGTCCTGAATCTAAATAAAGGGAATGAAGAGAATATGAGGCAGTAATTATCAAGGTGGGACTGGGGAACCTTCCTAAAGGGGTTTACGGTGGATAGGCAATTGTTCATATTTAAAGAACGTGTACGTCAATAACAATAATTATTCATTCTTGTCTGGCTCAGAAATGAAAGAAGAAAGGTGTTTCAACCATTGTTTGTAAAAGAAATTAGGGATAGTATTAGGGTGGCACGGTGGCTCAGTGGTTAGCATTGCTGCCTCACAGCACCAGGGACTCGGGTTCAATTCCAGCCTCGGGCGACTGTCTGTATGGAGTTTGCACATTCTCCATGTGTCTGCATGGGTTTCCTCCAGGTGCTCCGGTTTCCTCCCACAGTCCAAAGATGTGCAGGATAGGTGGATTGGCCATGGGAAATTGCCCATAGTGTACTGGTGGATGGAGGGTTACCATGGATATGGTAGGGGGGATGGGTCTGGGTGGGATGTTCTTTGGAGGATCAGTGTGGACTCGATGAGCCGAATGGCCTGCTTCCGCACTGTAGGGATTATATGATTCAATTTAAAGAGGACATGTATAAAATTGCCAGAAAAAGCAACAAGCCTGACGATTGGGAGCATTTTAGAATGCAGAAATAGAGGGCAGTTTTATTTTTAATTCTTTCCTCATGCTCAGGTTATTTTCACTATCCCTGAATGTCAGCTAATTCTGATATTTCATTCCCTGGAGAACTTTGCTTCTCTTGTATTTCCTGAATTGCAAGTTCTGTACCTAATTACCTCTGTATTCTTACCTCTGTAGTGCAATGGTGCCTCCAGATTACCTGCCAAGTCAATCAGCCTGGTCTTTGGATATTCTCTATGACCATCAGTCAAACTCTGCCAACTGCAGCAAATCCTTTGTCAATTCCGGGGCCATCTCTTCAATGAAGTAAAAATCTGCTGTTTTCCTCCCCCTTTGTTATTTCCATTTCGATCCAAACATTCTGGTTGCCTCTGTTTCAAATCACTCCTGAGTGAGTCCCCACATTTTATAAGCAGTCCCCCACGACCTACACACACACACACACACATGCACACACACCTCCCCACTCACATACTCACACAAATACACACACACACCCCCACTCACATACACACACACACACACACACCCC